AAATAACCCCATTCTACTCCATAAACACCCCCAAGAATTTTTAAGAAAAAACCTCTATTTTTAAACTGGAACTACTTGAGTGGTCAATGAAATAGGGGTAAAATTAGTAGTCTGTAACCCTATGCAGAGTTGTCGTTCGTTCCTCTCTCAGACACCTCTGCAATGGGCTCACGTCAAGATTTTTGACATAACGTATAAAACGTGATATTTGAAGGATTGTTTCAATTTAAATTAATAGTTTTGTATTGATTTAGTAAATATCTATCTCAAAATTCAGACATAACCATAGAAATTGAATTATAATGAATTAAAACAAACGCACTATTTCTCGTGTTTAACACTGTGATATACGCGAGCCAACGACAGAGGTGAATGTATGAGCCGATGGTAGAGAGTGCAACGCACCGCGCCGAAATTCAATTTTTGGGTGTTCCACGCAGCCATGTTGAACTTGATCGTGATGTTGTACAGAAGGAAAGGGCGATAGAGAGTGTCGCGAAAAGGAAAAAGGTGATAAGCTTTGGATGGAATTTCTGTTTTAACAGAAGATGAAGACATTTTACGACCCTGTGCTGCGGTAGGAACAATGTACAAAATTTTAATATGTTGACGGTGCGACCGTTAGAGCGAGCGCAAACTCTTCAATTGTTTTAATTTAGATCGGGCTCGTCAAACCGCACGTGGGATTTGGTGCGTCTAGACTCTGACGTCACATGACGTCGTATGTGAGTTCCAAGAAAAAGCCTGAACAGTGCTGAAAGTTAATGAAGAACGTTTCGTTTTGTATTTATCTTCAATATATATCCATTTAATCAAGGCGGGTAAACTTTTTGTTGATCATTTGTCATTATTCTCGCGAGAACGTAGCTAAAACAAGTGATGCATTGTGAGTCGAAATTACAGCATCAAAAAATTCTATCGAATGAATGTGAGTAGTCCGAATTTTCACTTCGCACAGGCGTTGCTTTAAGAGCTCGCAGTGACGAGCGTCGCTTCGCGACGCTCGCTGCGCTCGCTATTATGTGTCCTTGAGTGAATAATTGCTTCTGCTATTGACAATGTTACTGTTCCTAAGTCTGGGCACTACACATAAATGCCTGGCAGTAAAAACGTTTGGGCAAGCTCTATCTAAATTTTGTAATAATTATTTAACAATTTTAAACATCTCTAATAAAGATTGATTTTAACCAGAATTTCCTCGTTTGGAATTGGTTCCTTTCCTCTGTTCAGCATTTACAGAGTATGTTGTACAATGTAAAAAAAAGTATATATATTTATTTCTTAATGCATGTTCAAGATCATATTTAGCACTTATTTTGATTATTTAATAGTTGCAGTGGAATGTGCCTGAGACGATCCCCCACAGCGCCTGCATATATAGTCAGCTTGTGAAAATGGTGAGAACCATGCAGTTAACACAAATAACCTAACATTGTTTTTATTAACTTGTACCTTTTAGCATGAGGCTATAAAAAATATTGCAACTTGAATTACTATTTACCAAGTAAACAAGACGAGGCTTATATATTCTTAATTTCCTTATCCTAAAAATACAAAAGCAATGGATTCTGACAGGTAATCTAAACATACTATAAATTGCACAGAGCTATGCATAACTATTTTACATTAAATACTTAAGCATAAATTATTGAAAATAGCTATCATATTCTATGATGCACAATTATGCATGCATTATTTACAGGAATCCGAATACTCACAAGAAATGACAAAAGCAGTATGAAAATTAACACAAAGGTAAAATTTCTTAAACTTTCTGTAAGATCAATAAAATCACACGAATTGATTTTTTTAGCTGACCTGAGCCATTTAAAGACCCAAGCGAGTTTTCTGATCAGTGTCGGTATTCGTCTGTCAATTGTAAACTTTTTCCAATTTTCACATTCATCAGAATTACCGGGGGGTAATCCTAATTTGAACTAAAAAAACCCTGCAAGATACATCTTTTCTTTCAGAAATTGTGCCAGAAAGTTTGAAGTATCTATGGGAATAATCAACATGAACTTGCTAAGCCTTCCTTCTTAAAGTGACATGACCAGATATTTGGCTACCCAGTCTGAGGTACGAACTAATCATTTGTACGACGACTTGTTTATGAGATTGCCACCATTTACTGGAACTTTGAATTTGCTGTCCACTTTAAACCCCTTCTATCTACAGTGTAAGTTGTTATATATTTTATTTTATGTTAAATCACTTGCCCATTATCCCAATAACTTGTATGTTAAATGCTGTAGATGCTAACCTTTGCATTTTTGTAAACTCTTAAATTCCATGTGTTCCGAGTATGGTGCGCCATTACGTTCATCCATTTCGCATCATTTTTTGTTGTCTCTAGATTTGATCTTATACATATTATATGTTTTTGAAATAATTCCCTGAACTAGATCACAAAGTTTAAGAATTTTATTATTGTATGAATGTTATCTACTTGCTCTAATCATAAACACATCTGTTTGTATATTTTTTTTCTACGAAATGCTAACCTGTTATTAATTTTTCATATTTTTTTTTATCCATAGTATCTTTCTGCTAAATGAAATTAAATATTGTGGAGTAACATGGAGAAAAGGGCACCTCAACATGTTCAAGGTCAAGCAGGTAAACATGGTGGTAAAATGCTCAAAAAAAAGATGACAAAAAGTCACTAGTCCCCAATTTACATGAACATCCACAAAATCTGTAGCTTGCTTGTCTGAAACTATAGATACATATGTCTTAATATGTTAAATGTTAAATGTTGAAAATTCTATTCTTTTCATTTTCATAAACTTTGTAAAACTTCAAATTCCATGTGTTTGGAGTATGTACCATTATGTATGTTTCGTATCATATTTTGTTGTCTATAAATTTGATCTAAACATATAATTATATGTTTTTTTTATGTTATTCACTTAACTAGATGACACAGAGAATTTTGTTATTGTGTAAAATGTTATCTACTTGCTTTAGTCATAAGTACACCCTGTTTGTATATGTTTTCTCCTTTTTTGTACATTCTTTCTACGGAGAGCCATACCTGTTAATAATGTTTCATATTTTGTTTTTTACAGCTTATTACCTTATCCATAGTATCTTGTTGCTAAATGAAAGAATTAATGTGGAGGAACAGAGAAAAGGGCACCGCACCATGTTCAAGGTCAAGCAGGTAAACATAGTGGTAAAATGCTAAAAAAAAAGATGGCGAAAAAGTAATTAGTCCCCAGTTTACATGAACATCAACACTAGCTTCAAAATCTGTAGCTCGCTGGTCTGAAATTATAGATAAGTATCTGTCTTTATATCTTTAATGGTCTTCTGTAAATGTCAAAGTTCTGATGTTAAGAGAACCACCTGTCTAAACAGTAGACTAAAGAAACATTATATGGAACAAAACTCACAAACTCCTATCTGTGTCGTTCAATCGTTCGTTTTCAGATCAACATTGTAATCAATGTAATCGCACACAAATGTAAACACATCACCCCATACATGTAATATTAAATAGACTGCCATATGCACTTTCTTTTAAAATGTAGATTGGTTCAAAAATATTTCAGTTGTCGATAATTAATCAAAATTGAGCTGTGTTTCCTCTAGGTCATTTGATAAGTTTACATTCAACTCAGAAATTTGTGTACTATTTAATCTATGCAATTGCATAAATCCGGAAGCACACATATAATATGTATATATAGGCAAATTGGTATTAATTTGTATGTTTGTTGTAGAAATTTGGAGCTTGATGTGCTCCTCCATAGCTGAAAACTTCTTGGGATGAAGAGAAGAAAAAGCAAGAAGAAGCAGTTTTAAATATTAATTACGTCTTCGTACCACAAAAAATGATTCGAAAGATGATACTACCTATGAAATTAGGAAACTGAAGTGGCGTTCTGATGAATGTGAAAAAGTCCTCAAAGAACAGGACACCAAAAGTGCCACTCTCAAATCAAAGCACTCTAAAAGGCAGAGTATAAGAAGAACTAGGACAAATAAAGAATTGAAGAGAGTCAAACCTATTGATGTCGTTATTGAACAGAGATGGGCTATTAGAGATGAAATATCTGAATTGCTACTGTTTTGCACAAATGTGTTGCTTTTTTTTTACTTATCTTTAATTGACACATTCAATGTTAATAGATAAGAAAAATATATCTAGTGTTATATTTATGACAGTGAAAGTTTTTTCTGATGCTTGATTACAGATTAAAACTGTTATGTTTTTTATTGTTTAAACATTTATTGGTTTATTGTGTAGTATGCAATCATATACATTTTAATCTTGATTTATATATCACATATATGTACAAGTTTGACTTAAATAATAAGTGCATGAACATTTGTTATAGAAAAAAATATTAAATACAATCAAGGGTAGTCTGAAAGAGCTTTGCTGGCAGTAAGTTGCAGATCTTGATACCCAAGTTAGAGATAGGTGGTGTCTCTGACCGATCCTTTTGCTCTTGCTTGCGGGCGAGTGAGGCTTCTCTGTCAGTGGCTTAGTGTGTCATAGATGTAAAAAGTAGACTAAGCAGATGAGGTAGAGATATTTCAGAGTAAAAACGTGGTGAATTGTGATTTTAATAAATATTACAATGTATATTGCAAGAGTAATAAGAGTAATGAGAATTGCAAGAGCAAAACATTATTTTGTTTCCTTCCATTTGAATTAAGAGAGTTTATGACGAGAATCTTTTCTTTCTAAACTTGTACTAATGTTTATACAGGACTTTTTATATGTACATGTTTCAGACCTCATTCTTGAAATCTTAAGACAAAGTCTAGAAGATTAATTACTGAAAAATTATCACTATCTAAATGTCTTGCATTCCAATGTAAAGTTGATTTAATGAGGATATGTTAAGTTACAATCTTCAAGCAATAAACCTAGCAGTTGGAACAAAAATGGGCTACATGTATTAGAAACAAATTTAAGCTGCTTCTATTTTGTGCAATTGTGATACTATTTCTTTTATTTGAATTGACATACCGTATAGCGGGTTTTCTTGGCGGGTGTAAAATTTGGCGTTTTGTCTACTCAAAGGTATGCCAATAATTTTGGCGTAACTTATTTTAGCGGACAAAGGGTTTCAGCTCTTTGCAATTGGACACTAAGAAGAGTACAGACTATTTTAGCGATTAAAATTTTAGCCGACTATCATCAAAACGCCAAAATAAGCCAAAATTAGCACCCCACTAAAATAACCCGCCATACGGTAACCAGATGAGATATAAAAGATTTTTTGGGGGTGTTGTATTTTTCACAGTCAACATGAAGTATTTACTCTACTCAGTTAAAGATTTGAAAGCTGTCATATTTTTTATTGATACCAGATCAACTGGTTTATTGTGTGGCACACATGTACATATACTTTTAATCTCTGTTTTATTGCCATGTTTTTACAAGTTGAACTTGAATAATTAGTGCATGGACAGCTATTGTGGAAATATTTGGGAAACAATATAAGGGTGGTCTGAAAGAGCTTTTTGCTGGCAGTAAGTTGCAGATCTTGATACCCAAGTTAGAGATAGGTGGTGTCTCTGACCGATCCTTTTGCTCTTGCTTGCGGGCGAGTGAGGCTTCTCTGTCAGTGGCTTAGTGTGTCTTAATAGATGTACATGTAAAAAGAATGGACAACTTTTATTGGCAACTTTTATTTTTTTTATGCAAAGTATGATATAATTTTTTGTGGGAAATTGAAATGCCATTTACAGCCCATGCAGCAGTTTAAATACGGGCAGTATCAGTCACAGATTTTGCAGTCTTTTGGAGTCCAGAATGACTGCATTTTTGACCTGTTGTGTTCTGATTTATTCCGGTTTTAAATTTTACATACAATTCCATTCTAATAATTATGATTATTGATTTGTTTGGACAAAATGAACTATTGTTGTCAGGGTATCTTAAATTAACAAAATTTGAATTCCATATTAAGTGTTTTGTAAAATTCAAAATTCTTTCATTTACTTCAGTATTATATATTACTTACTACTAGTATATACAAATTTACTCAATTTTAATTGAGCTACAATCATGATTGTAAATTTTTAAGTTCTGACATTTAGGCATAAATTTTGAAATATCTTATACTTTGTTAGAACTCATTGTTTGTACACTATTGAGATAACATGTAATAAAATGGAATGAGAAATGGATTTGTGTATGATTGTAAAATATTTGCCAAAAAAAAACCCCACAATTATAATTCATACAAATTAATGATGGAACAGATATTAAATAAAAATATTATGCAATGATATAATAATATTAAATTTCATCAAATACAACCATAAATCTTAATGATATGGGAAGATTTAATCCATATATTTTCATCACATATACAAGAGATGTAATATTAATTTTATAATATGAAAGATTAAAATTTGAACGTATTAGTAAGTTTACAATTTTCCGTATACAACTTAATTTTTGGAAGTATTATGAAGTAAAGTGTGAATTAAACAAAAAATAATGAGGAAAAGATCTATGTTAAATTTTATTAAACGATCAAATTTAATATAATCATAAAACTTTATTTTATGGGCACGTTTAATAATAATTATCTATTTTGTATACTAGAGGTAAAATATTTGTTTACGGGAGACTTAATACGAAGGTATGAGTAGGTTAACAATTTTCCAAACTTTATTAAATTTGTTCTTTTAATTTTTCATTAAACTCGTATTAAATGCTAATTATTTTCTTACATTTACGATCCCACAATATGTTATACTATGCATTTAAACATTAAATAATCGCAGCATTTAAATTGCATTTAAGGTAAAATTAAACCCGACTTTTCATGCAGTGATATTATTTTGTTGACAAGAGCAATGTATCGACCATCGAACTAATGAAAAGATGACTTTAAACGAGACTGCTGATATTCTTGTTTTATCAATTTTTTTTCAATAATAAACCTCGTTTTAGAATTCGACCATACGTAGAGTACTAGACTAAGTATGTTCTTGCGTATCGAATCAACTGAGAGAAATAAACCCATTTGCAAGTGATAAGGGTATATTGCTGCATAAATAAGGGAAATTGAAGATTCAAAAGATAAAGTCAAGACGTTTGTCATAAAGCTTGATCGTAAAGTTTACCAATAAACTTAAAACACTTTTAGTTGAAACGTTATGATACAAAGTATGATTAATTGTTAATGAAGTAGAAATAATTAGTAAAATAACAATTGTGTCATCAACGGCTATCAATGTTTATAATATAAAAAAATGCTTTTTTAATTATCTAGATTGGAAAATCTAAAAATAATCTACTTGAATGGGTTGACTCAAACTTGTTTCCGTAATGATAATCTATATTTCATGTCATTTTTGTCGAATCCACTTACACTGTACAAATCTATAACTTCCAAAACTTCCTGCTAAAATTTCCTGTCGTGATTTATGTATATTTTTATTTGTATAAAACAAATATTATGTACACTCACATAAATGTCCTTAGTAATGATAATCAGAACCACTACCATTATAAAGTGTTGATACCTCTTAATTGAAAGTCTTAGTGAAAGTATATTAAATTTAAAATATCTTGAATTTTATAACACTAAAAGTAAGTATATTATTTATGCTAATTTAACTCCACGTGTTTGTGTCTTTGTTGTGAGTGTGTGTGTAAGGGTGTGAGGAAGGGTGAGGGAAGATGAGAGAGAGGGTGTGAGAGGGTGTGTGTGTGTGTGTGTGTTTGGGGGGGGGGGTGAGGATGTGTGTAAGGGTGAGACAGAGAGAGAGTCTGGTATAAATAACATATATTTCAGAATGCAGGAATTAAAAAAAATATCTTTACCAATTTTCTTAAGGTTTTGTTAAAGGTCAACTTCAAAAACAACCTAACCCAGTCACAGTTCAGCATAACCAAGTCTCTGAAAAACCTAACCCATTCACAGTTTAACATAACCAAGTCTCTAAACTACCTAACCCAGTCATGGTTCAACATAACCAAGTCTATTAAATAACATGACCCAGTCATGGTTCAACGTAACCAGGTCTTTTAGTTACCTCACCCAGTGACTGGGTTATATTAACTGTGACTGTGTTAGGTTGTTTAGAGACTTTTATGTTATACAGTGCCTGGATAAGGTTGTTTAGAGACTTGGTAAACTGTGACACGGTTAGGTTGTTTGAAACTAGGTTATGTTGAACAGTTAATGGGTTAGGTTGTTTAGAGACTTGGTTCTGTTGAACTGTGACTGGGTTAGCTTGTTTTAAAACTGGTTTATGCTGAAGACTTACTGGGTTAGGTAGATTTGAGACTTGGTTCTGTTGAACAGTGACTGGTTCAGGTAGTGTAGACACTTGGTTATGTTAAACCATGACTTGGTTAGATTGTTTAGAGATTTGGTTCCGTTGAAATTGGACTGGGCTAGTTTGTTTGAACTAGGTTATGTTAAACAGTGAACGGGTTAGGAAGTTTTGAGACTTGATTTGTTGAACTGTTACTGTGTTAGGTAGTTGAGAGACCTGGTTGTTTTGAACAGTGACTGGGTAAGGTTGTTTAGAGACTTGGTTATGTTAAACCGTTACTGGGTTGAATTGTTTAGAGACTTGGGTCTCTTGAACTGTCACGGGGTTTGTTTGTTTAGAGACTTGATTCTATTGAAATGTGACGGGGCTAGGTTGTCTTGAAACTCGGTTTTGTTAAACAGTGATTGGGTTAGGTAGTTTTGAGACTTGATTTGTTGAACTGTTACTGTGTTAGGTAGTTGAGAGACTTTGGTTTGTAGACCTGTGACTGGGTTAGGTAGTTCTGAGACTTGGTTATGTTGAACAGTGACTGGGTTAGGTTGTTTAGAGACTTGGTTCTGTTGAACTGTCACGGGGTTAGATTGTTAAGAGACTTGATTATGTTGAAATGTAACGAGGCTAGGTTGTTTTGAAACTCGGTTATGTTAAACAGTTACTGGGTTAGGTAGTTTTGAGACTCGGTTATGTTGAACTGTGTTTGTGTTATGTAGCTGAAAGACTTGGTTATGTACGAGGGGTGATCAAAAAGTTCGCGAACTATCTCTATATCTACAAAA